ATTCTTTCTTGCCAGATATCAACTTGGTGATGCAAGCCACCCAAGCTAAGATGCCCCAAGATTTCCCCCTAATGAAAGGAGCGCTGCGAAGGCACCAGTAATGATTAGATCAACCCTTCTGGTATTTACAGCAAGGCTCCAGCCCTGTGAAAGGCAACATTTAATGGATGGCCTGCTCAGAACTGGGCTACTCCAACTCTCCCTAGGAGCTTCCCTCCAGGGGAAACGCTTTGTTCACTTTGGCCTTGGCTGAAGGAGAAAGTGACTTGGCAGAGATTACATGAAGGCTGTCATTAATTTGTAAAGGTTATACAAGATGCAACAGCAGACAAAACCGAGCTGCCATGGTGCAGTGAGTGGGGAAACATCAAAAAAGGAGTAGAGACAGCAGAGAGTGGAGCTACCTTCTTTAAAACTTACCTGAGCTCCTTTGGCTCAGAAATCAAGACTTAACATCTCAAGATAAAAGCTTGCTTGTGACAAAGCCAGTGTGTCTTGGCTTTAGCCAGAAAAATCATAGAAGTAGCTTTTCTTGCAATCAATCTGTTTCTCTTATACAGTATGCAGCTACATGCAAAAATAATTCATGAAATGCTTCAAAGACACTTTAGAGAGTTTAAGAAGTACTTGGTTAGATGGAGGAAGGAAGGGTCTCATGTTTCCCAGGAAGCCTTTTTGATCAGAGCCAAGTTATCCCATTCAATACTTAGGGTCACAGGTGGGAAGCAAAGTTGGATGCCAAATTCAGTTTCCAAGATGTGAAGCCAACTGAAGAGGAAGGAAAACGAGTATTGTTCTTTAATACTTATTAAATATGAGAGTTGAAAGATTGCAGGCCCAGAAAAACCAAGGCCATGAAGTGGGACTTCCGTCAGCAGGAGCAATTAACACCAAATGAAGGAGCCCGTGGTCATCCAAGAGTGAGCTAAGATGGGAAACCAACTGGGTAAGGGTTGTACTTCCTGAGCCTCTGGTCTAAGACACAGAGAACTCTGTCCCTTACGCCAGTCTCTTTACCTTAAATGAAAGAAACAACACCTAACATTGACCTGAGCTCATGTGAAGTAGAGACAGAATGATCTGGAATTATCTCTGCTTTTTATAGTACTGCTGGTGCTACAGGGAGGACTGGTTTACCACTAATTTCCAGGTGCCAGAGTCTAGCACTGGAACCAATAACCCCTAGGAGATAGAGACATTCCTTAAATATCCAAGAAATAATTCCCAACTTGGGGAATGGAATGTTTGTGCGAGATGTTATCAGAATTATGGGGTGGGAGGGTGGGGAATGGCCAATTATTTTAAATACAGTTGCTACCACCCTTCCCCCTTCTTTTACGTTTTTATTGTGATCTGGCACTTATGAGTCTATTACATCTTTTCCCTGCACTGAGGGGGAGAATAGATGAAGAATACACCTGCAATTGTATTTTGAGATAATCCCTAAGGGAAACCTCTAATACTACCAATCACAAAAAACACCATTAAAAGTTTCATTGTATTAATCACAAAACCACTAATAAAAAATATCTAGGTTTAGTGAACATTTACTACCAGGAAAGTAGGCTACTGAATCCTTTGTATGGTTTACTGAATTCTAGTAAGCTGCCAAGCAGCAAATATGCTCTTAATACAAAGTGGGAAATGAGACACAGGTAACTTGTCCAGGGACATACTAGTTAATACAGGTAATCCGGTTCAGGTCTCCATGTTATCTATTCTCAGGATAATACTCCACTACATAAATTATAGAAACTCTCTAGGCTAGCATTCAAGGCCCTCGGCAGAACACAACCTACTTCTGCTGCTACCTCGAGTCTTTTTTATGAGAGTATTTTTTTAAAGTTTAGGGAAAATAGAATTGAAAGCATGAGTCTATTTGAGTGCAAATAAATTGAAATCCACACCTTTTTTAAATAAAATAATATGCAATTTTCACAAATCTGAAAGAAAAATTTCCACCAGGGTAATCTCAGTGTTTAGAAAAAATTATTTATATGAGAGGCAGAAACAGAGAACTCCCAACCATTGGTTCATTCCCCAGAGGCCCACAGTGGCCAAGGCTGGGCAGATGCCAAAGTCAGGAGCAAAGAATCCAATTCAGGTCTCCCACATGGGTGTAGGAACCCAATGACTTGAGCTATCACTTGCTTTCCCCCAGGGTCTGAATTAGGAGGGAGCTGGAGTTAAGAGCCAGAGGCAGGTATGGAATACAGGCATTCTGCTATGGGACATGGGTGTCCATCTTAACTGCTAGGCCAAATATTGACCCCCTAAACTCACTTTTAGTTTCTGCTTCCCAAGATTTTTTTTTAAATACCTTCAGATTTGCTCCTTTGTGTAGCAGAACTCCTTGTAAGAGCAGTTCATACACAACTATTCAATTCTATTTTCTCTTAAGCCTACTACAGTCATCCCTATCACATTGCCTTAATTGCTCAGCAATGACAACAAAGACCTCCACTTAGATAATTCCCCAAGATCAATTGCTAGCTTTTCTCTCATCAGAGCTTTAAGTAGCATCTGATATTACAACCACTCCCTTCTCCTTGATACCCTTTCTTCACTTGGTCTCTGGCATACCACAACCTCTTGGTTATCTCAAAGGTCACTTTTTCCTAGCTCTTAATCGGTCCTTCCCTTCCTAACCCCCCAGGATGGGTAGCTCCAGGGCTCTGTTCTCCATGATTTTTGCTGCTGCATCCACAATCACTTCTACTAGGTCACACAAAGTCACAGTTTTCTAGTCCACATGAATGCCAATGACTCCAGCCCAGACGTCTGTCCCAAACATCTAATCCTATGAAATACTGACACTTTGATGTCTAACAGTTGCCTCAAATTCAGTATCTCCACAACTGAACTTCTGAATCCCTCCTTTCTCAGAATATCTGATTTACCTCCACTTTCCCTATTTCTGTTGTTGGAAACTCTTTTCTTCCCATTGCTCAAGTCAAACATTTAAGATTTGGGCCGGTGTTTGGCACAGTGGTAGAACACCCACATCCCATATTGGAGTGTCTGTTTGAGTCCGGCTCCTGCTTTTAAACCAACTTCTTCCTAATGAACACCTTTGGAGGTAGCAGGTGATGATGGACAGTCCAAGTGCTTGCTTGAGTCCCTGCCACCCACCAGGGAGACCTGGATTGATTGGGTCAGACTCCTGCTCTGACCCAGCCCCAGCCCCAGCAGTGGACTTTTAGAGAGTGAACCAGTGAATAGAAGCTCTCTCTCAAACAAAAACTAAAACAGCCCAAATCTTATGTGTATCAGCAACCCTATCGGCTTCACCTTCAAAAATATATCTTGAATGTGACTACTTGCCATCCCCCAGCTATTGCCCTCATGTTTCACTCTCAGAAATGTCCTGATTTGAATAATAAACGAAGCCACCCAAACCCAAGGCTGTGATCTCAGCCCTGCCCTGGCAGTTAGCAGGGCTCTCTGACTCTCACTGGCTTGAAGCCTACCCCAGCAACGTGATACTGTTGCCAACCTCTGGCAAGCCGGGCTCCTTCTTTGGCTGTTTGTCCTGTTGTTTCCTTTGTCCATGATGCTGTTCTCCCAGATAGCCACAGGACAAGTTCCTCACACTTCCTTCAATCTTCACTCAGTTGTTCACTGTTCAATGAAACCCGTTTGCTACTACACTAAGCCCATCCCTTCCTCTCCTCATTCATTTACCATGCTCACTTTTCTGTCTCATTGCACTTTTCTCTTCGCATGCTCTTCATTTTTATTTACTTGTTAATTCATTTTATTTCATTCACTTATCTTCCTCCATTAGAATGAAAGCTCTATGTTGTTATTTTCATCACTGATGTATCTCAATGATAGAACATGGCTGGAATGTATGTAGGTGTCCAATATATATTTGTTGAATGAGGAAATAACCACAGATACACCAAAATAAACACAGGGGTCATTATGTCCTCTTATCTTAAACATTCCTCTTCCTACTATGTTGATCTTCTCTCTGCCTCTTGTCATAATCCTTCTGCTGGAAACAGACATTGCCAAAAGTCTAATTCTGGCTTAGAAACCCGTTCCTCTCTCCTTCCCCATCTAAGGGTTAGGGATAGAAGCAGGCTGAGACTGAACACAGAAACTCTGAAATTATTACTTACAGTTTCAGAATCAGTAACCAAAGCAAGAGATCCCATAGTGTTCTTATCTAATTGCCTCGCCAATGCTTGGCACTGAGAGTCCTGGCCACTTACCTATGAACTCAGGTTCATTTTTAAAACTTCCTGTAATTTTAGATTCAAAGGAATCCCTGACTAATACTGCCACCTACTGATGAGTAGGTAAGAGATCAAAACAATGAGAAAGTGCAAACCAGTTTAACAAAAACCAGGAAACGATATCAATGAAAAACCTCATGTGGTGAAAATAAAAAATATTTTCCCCAAAGAAAGCTCACAAGGAATTAATAACATTAGATCCTATAGCAGCAGTATGCAAAGACTGTGTGAGAGTAAGGAATGACAATGATCTCTTTCAGAAAAGAGGCAGCATCGCAAAGTATTAACCAGGCAACCAGTCCTCTATAAATACCAATTCTCCTACTTTTCACTAGCAACTTCCCTAAGCATTAAAATGTTCCAGACTTGAAGCAAATATATTTGTTTTTATTTTCCCTCACGTACAAATACAAGCAAATACAACCTGAGATGTAAAACTCACTAGGAACAAAGCCATCACAGTGCACAGCGAAAGCAGTTAATACTGGGACATTTATAGTCTAAGCTCTCCACAGTCCGGTTGTCCTCTTTAGATGTGCAGGTAGATTTTTTGTTATTTAAAAGCAATACTGTTCAATGGCAACAAACTTGAATCATAAGTGCTAAGAAAGATTCAAAATAAAATGGCATTTTCATTTTTCCTTACCAAGATCTGATATATTTTTTTTCTCTTATCAAAAAACTTCATGCATCACCCAGTTCCCCAGTCAGGTTGGTGTGATTTATAAAGCCATTTATTCGATCATTTACTTGCACTTGTCTTTTTTTTTTTTTTTTTTTAAGTTGTGCACTGCTAAAAGGCTTGAAGCACTTAGTTTTCCTTTTATATTGTTAATTGTCTTTGCGGACTCATTAAGAAAACATTTTGCTTAAATGTTGCTAATTGGGAAATTAATACATATTGTCAAACAAACAGAAAAACAGTGTGTTTTGAAAGTTCTAAAGAATAGAAATTTGCATATTGAACAACTAAGACCAAAAAACATGCTATATTTCTCATGTCTTCTAGCTTTAAAAGTCACACAAAGACAATGGGATCAATTAAAGAGTAGCAGTGACTTTTAACAATAACAAAAGTAGTCCATTTGCCACATTAAAATAATAGTAAAGAAAAAGAAGGCAAATGTAGACTTATGAACACATAAGATTAAAAGTAATAATTCCAAGAGAAGAAAATTTAGAAAAAAAAAGGCATTTAATTACAAAATTTTTTTAAATAGAAAAGCAATGGCACAAATCAGCACACAATGATTTCAGCGATAAGATCCACAGGTTGCCCTGGTAATTAGGGGCTATAACTTTCTGACTGTTCTCATTAACAGCATTTTCCCTCCTAATCAGAGTGACATCAAGAGTTTGAGAAATGGATAATTTTTCCTACAGTACTACTGAAACTATCATAAATACAGAGTGCGCTAAACTCATTTACATCACCTCTTATTCACTATACTCTAAATGCATAAAATATTTAACAATTCTCTGTTGCTTCATTTCTCTTATTTACAATAGCGAGACCACCTGTCACATTTGGTCAGGGCATTAAAATCCCTGGGGACAGTACTCTCTGCAACATTTTAATACATATTTACTGATCATTTGAAGTAAGCACACAAACGAAAGCTTGTTCACATGATGGCATCACACGCAGAAGAATAACTCTTCCAGTTGTCTCATTCAGGAATTAGGAAAAACAAATAAATAAAGTCCCTCTTTCAGTAGAATGCATTCTCCAGCCACAACTGGATTGTGCATTTTTATAATGCTAATGTGACAATAAGCAAGCCAGCTGTGACTTCATGACTTTTTAAATCCATTTCGAAGAGTACAGCATACATGAAGCGATCTGGCTTTCACTCTCTTCTTACCTATAATCCAGTTATTCCACATAGGCATACACTATTTATCCTTAGTATATAAGTATTTAATGGTTTGGTAATAATTGGCAGTTTCTGACAGTTTGATTTTCTTGACTGTGGATATGGTTCTGTGCACATGTGTCAGATGAACTGAAAAAAAAAATGCAAATCGTCCCATGTGATACAGCAGAAAGAGCAGGATGTTTGTTTGGGCAAATGATTCAAAGATGTGAATACTAACATTCCAGGGTGACAGGAATACTGTTGAATTCAGCTTGTTTTCCTTTGTGATTGCTTTACAACTTGCCTTATCTGGCATTTGTTATCTTTTTGGTTAAAAGCAATCCTAATTGGGAGAAGGCAAATGTGAAGAGGTAAGGAAGATGAGAAAGCATGTATTACAGGACATAAAATTTTGAAAGAAAAAAATTAGGTAGGAAGAGACTATATTTTCATGGTTAAAAAACAAACAAACAAAAAAACCTGTTACATCTGGACCCGTTTCACAGAGTATACATAAACAGCCTACAAGCTAATTAGGCCCCTCTCCTCGTATTCCAGAAATACTTTCTAATAATAATAATAATAATAATATTAACATGATTCTGGCAGCAGTACAAATCCATAACGTTTTAAGGTTTGAGAGTGTCACTTTTTAATAGTTGGGGACAGATAATAATAAGGGTTTTGCCATTTCTTTTATTTCCATTCTTGACCCAGCAGGAATAAGTACAGAAGTTCTTGTGGTTAAGTCTTCTACGATGGCCTTGACTTTATAACCCACTCAGCGTTAGGGTTGAGCTGATACAAGTCCTTCATGTAAGTGTCTTCATCCAGACAGCGCTCCCCTGTCAAAGACATGTTGTATTAGTATAATGCAATAGGTAGACTGGACCACAATTTTGAATTTAAGCCTAACGGTTTAACTCTGAAGTCTGACAGTACAAAATACTTCATAGCCTTTCCTGCTTCATATCATAATATAAGAATCAGTTAAGGTTGCCGGTGTTGTGGCAACGCAGGTTATGCCACCACCTGCAACACCAGCATCCCATATCAGAGCACCCAGTCTGAGTTCCCTCTGCTCCACTCCAATCTTTAATATTTATTTATCTTTTTATTTATTTGAAAGGCAGAGTTAGAGAGATGGAGAAAAAAGAGAGAGAGAGAAGGAGAGAGAGAGATCTGTCAATGGCTGGGTCACTCCCCTAAAGGCCACAGCAGCCAGGGGTTGTCCCAGGCTGAAGCCAGGAACCTAGGGCCTCTTCCAGGTCTCCACATTGGTGGCAGGGACCCGAGTACTTGGGCCATCCTAAGCTGCCTTCGCAGGATCATTAGCAGAGAGCTGGATCAGAAGCAGAGCAGCCAGGTGTTGAAACCAAACCCATATGGGATGCCAACATCACAGGTGGCGGCTTAACCCTTCTCTGCCACAGAGCTGGCCCACCACTGCTCCAGAAAGTAGCAAAAGAGGCCCAAGTGCTTGGGCCCCTGCTCCAAGGTGGGAGAACTGGATGGAGTTCCAGGTTTCTGATTTTGGCTTGGACCAAATGGCATTGGCTAGTGCGGCCATTTGGGTTGCAAACCAGCTGATGGGAGATCCATCTTTTTCTCTAATTGCCTTTCAAATAAACAAACAAACAAATAAATAAATCTCTTGAAAGTGGCTAAAATATTGGAAAAGGCAAATTGGTTGTGTAGTTATTCTCTAAATGAACAAATTAATTTAGGAGGCTAAAAATACCATGTGTTACAGACTTTCAAGTGGTTCCTTAAAAGTTTATTCAACTTCATTAAGAAAAGCAACACTGTTCAATCCACCTAAGAAACTATACTTAATTCCCAAGATCTAGTAATAAATTGAAAAGTGACATCTTTTAATATTTAAATAATCTTTACAGAGTTATCAATTCCAGGTTTCATTTTAAAAATGAGTTTTTTCGCATTCTAGTGTTCATAGTCAATAATTTTTACCTAGGACCCAACATTTTTAGGTCCTAGGAAAAAAATTCTCCAACGCCTATATCTTAAATTTATTTTTAATTATACATCATTTTTTAATAATCTCACCCTTACCATTTTCAACCATCTAAAAAATTTCTATTTTAAATTTTCAAATGGAGATGAGTAAGACCCATTGATAATTGCAAAACCACAAAATATAGAACATGTTCAAAATAAATTCATTTATCCTATTTCTATTTCCTAAAACATGAGTATAAATCTGTGTATAAATGTCTAAAATTTAATAGGAAATCAATTATGGCAAAAAATAATTCTTGTTTTTACCAAAAATATCTAACTTGTACCAATATAATATCTAAGAAATATCTAAATTTATAAAATTAAAAAGTTAACACTACATTTTAGCTGCTTCTAATAAATGTGTTATCTTGGTCTTAAATACACCTAACTACTTCCTTTATTAAGATGTGACACATCTATGAAAAGGTTTTGAAAAACTTGCATGAATAACCATTCTAGAAGTTACTTCTTTTATAGAAATTTGTCTTTGCTGAAGTTGAACACAGATAGACATGTGTACAAAAGGAGCTAAGTAAGAGCCTAAAGAGAAAGGTCAGGTTATAAAACAAATCCACGATATCCAGCCACTATTTAAGTATGTTGCATTTTACTTCCAATATCCTACTTTTGTTCCACTCAAAGATATAAATAGGCACTGGCCATAGCAAATCAGCTTATGGGATGCAAAGAGAACAAAAGTGTGCTTACCAATATTTCCTCCAATTTCATACAAAAAAACTTCCCCCTTCTTGAGAGTCTGGGCAACCCCACTATTAGGAACAAAGCAAACTGATTAGTTGTATCATCAAACAGCTTGCAAGTAAATCACTTTAACATGCTTAGGGAATTCTGGCTGGTACGGAAAATTCATAACTCAGACGCACTATAATCATCTACACATTTGTATTTTCCCATCTGCTGAATGTGCCAAATAGGTAATAAAAATGTCACACCTGTAAATTAAAATAAACAAATGGAATCATACATCTGAAGGCAAAATAATAAATCGGTATCTAAATTTGTAAAATTAAAAAGTTAACAAAACATTTTAGCTGCCAATCAAATTATTAATGTGATTATCTACTTTGCACAGGAGCCAAAAAGGGCCTCATTAAAAACTGTGAAAAGAAATGTTTCCACCTTAGTTTTCACACTGCATGCATTCAATAAGTCTTTATCATGGATTTGCTGTGCCAACAACTTTAATACTGTGCAAGATGAACTAAGAGGTAAGACATGATTCATATCACCCTCAGTATTGGCCTTTCAAACGTGGGAGGTCCACACTCTCAGGGTAGAAGCAAACAACCACTCTGGGGACTACTGGAATTTACCATGTTGGTTGTGTTCACAGGTTTATACTCTCCAAAGAATGATCTCTTCCAGAACATTAGATTGAAACATAAAACTGGTAAAACTCAATGGGCTTCAAATCTTTCTGTTAAAATATTACCTAGGAAACCTCCTAAAAATTCAGATCTAGAACTCCATAAGCAGTAATAGATCTAGCATACCGGCCAAGAATGTGCTTTGAAAATGCTCTACAGAGGATTCCAATCCACAGGAAGTTTTGTGAACCGTTAATATAAAGCCTAAGACATTCTCTCTGGAATGAGAGAGAGAACCAGGTTTAACACACATTCAAGCCACTAGGATATGGTGCAGAAGCCTTCCTAACCAACCTCTCTAGGATTTATCCAGTTATGTAGCTTTCTCTACCCACCCTCCGACTGTTGTACATATAACTAGATGCTTACGGCTATAGATGCCTTCATGCTAAAGTTCCACCTGCTTGTTGTCAACTCACGGTGTTTCCCATTGAGTGTATGCTTCATTTAAGTGAAGTCATTTAATAATTACTCCGTTTCATTTAAGTGAAATAATTTAATAATAATTCTGTTCATTTACAACGTACTATATAACTTGGTAAATTATGAGTATATTAAGTGTTGCTGTTGCTATGAAAACAAAATTGAGTGTTTTGAGAAAACTGATCTTAAAAAAGTCAAGTCAGATATTGTTCTTACTCTCAAGAATCTATATTTTAGCTCTAACTTGAAGAAAGTGAATTAGATTTGCTAGTATACAGCAAGCTTTCATATAATGCTAATCAACAAATTTATAATTAAAGGCAACAATCCTTTATCAAAGACTGGTGAGTGAACATGCAACGTATTGTACCTTTTGTGATATCCATTCATGTGTTCCTTAGCTTCCATAGAGAAAGATGGAGAGAAAAAAGATGTAGGGAAGTACGGTTTATAACAGCCTCCAAGACAAGTGAAATACAAACAAGAGATGTGCAGGAAGATGATGGGAAAAATACATAGACACACGTGAATATTTACTGCAGGTTTCACTTGCAATGTGCATCATATCATGGCCATCTTCCTAGTAAATGATCACAAACTCTTTGTGGTCCATGTTTACTAATGAGGAAGTTAAGACTTAAAATGATTATAAAAACTTGTGCAAGGTGAAGTAGGAACAGCTAGCTGAATCCACATTGATGGTGTGTTTCCAGCAGCCCCAAGCACAAGGATTGGGATAGGAGGAGGTGGGGAGCAGGGAAGTAAAAGCAGGGAGAAGTTTACCAGGCTTCTCTCAGGGTGAGGAGGAAAGAGAGGAGAGGAAGGAGTCTGGCTGCAGAAGGCAGTAAATGCTTTACTTAATGAAAGCACTTCAAGTAGAAAATCCACAAATGCAGAGGGCAGTTATCACAAAGCTTGTGTTTGCCATAACCATATGCCTACTACCCTTTCATGCTGTATCCTGAATAATCAAGTCACAGTTGAAAATACTGTGCAACTCCATGGTTACTTATGAAATTGCCACCAGGTAGAGGAACAAAAGTACCAAACACAGAGTACTCAGTCCGAAAGCAAATGCTACGTAAATTCACCTTGTCCAGCCTATAAGAGCTGCTTGCATCTGAGAAGAGTGACTACCAGAGCAGCAAGCAGGGAGGAAGTGCATTGACCTCACTGCAGCTGACAGTCCCTTTAGAGAGGAACAAAGACATCCAAGAAATGCCAACTGCTCCCAGGACTCAATCTTGACAAACTCAACTGATCCAGGACACAATTCCATAAAATTCTATCCCCTCGATGCGATGATCTCAAGACCCGCTAGCCAGGGTAGAGACTTATCATACATCCACCTTTGGGGGCAAACACTGTGGAGCAGGATGTTCAGCGGCAGCCTGGAAGGCCTGCATCCCATATCTGAGTGCCTGATTCAAGTACAAACTACTCCATGCTTCTGATGCAGTTTCTCGCTAATGCTTTTGGGAGACAGCAGGTTATGGCCCAAGTACTTGGGTTCCTGCCACCCACGTGGGCTTAGTCCCAGCAGCTACGGGCATTTGGAGGAGTGAACCAGCAGATAGAAGACCTCTCTGTCTTTGTCTTTCCTCTCTGTCACTTTGTTATTCAAATACATAAATACATAAATCTTTAAAAAAAGAAAAGAAACTGCCTTTGGTGACAGAAACCACAGTTTTAGAATTCTAGCTCCAGCAGCCTATGAAATAGGTGACCTTGCACAGTTTGGTTTCCTTACAGGTAGCATTTGCTTCGGAGTGTTGTTGCGGGGAGGTTTATGCTGGCTTATTGAAAGCTCAGATAGTACCACAAAGCCTTTCTCTCATTTCACTACCATCTGTTAGCCATATAGATTCACCCATTCCCCCAACTTAGAAACCCTGAGGGGAGGTACTTTAAAATACATATTTGCACCCCTGCTGACACCTAGCGGAGGGCATTAAACAGAGCAGAAACATATTAAATTCTTGTGATACTGTGCTAAAATTATTGAGGCATTGGCGAAAAGCTTGGCTGAAGCCACTGAAGTCCAAAATGAGATTAAATTCAACAAGGACAGCAAAACAGAGAAATCATTAATCAAGATGTCCAAGTCGTGATTGCCCTCTCTTTTAAAACATTTAGATCAGTTCATTTTAAAGAGTAACAATGCAGGAGGAGTCGTTAAAAATGTAACTTTAAAAATAATAAGACTGGGCTGGCGCCGCGGCTCGCTAGGCTAATCCTCTGCCTTGTGGCGCCGGCATACCAGGTTCTAGTCCTGGTCGGGGCGCCGGATTCTGTCCCGGTTGCCCCTCTTCCAGGCCAGCTCTCTGCTGTGGCCAGGGAGTGCAGTGGGGATGGCCCAAGTACTTGGGCCCTGCACCCCATGGGAGACCAGGAGAAGTACCTGGCTCTTGCCATCGGATCAGTGCAGTGCGCCGGCCACGGCGGCCATTGGAGGGTGAACCAACGGCAAAGGAAGACCTTTCTCTCTGTCTCTCTCTCTCTCTCACTGTCCACTCTGCCTGTCCAAAAAATAATAATAATAATAATAATAAGACTGGAAACTCAATACACTTGTTAGAATCACTAAACTTCAACAAAAGATACTGCAAAACAGCCCGGAAAGTTCAGTTTCTAGTAGAGTAAGAAAGAGATGACGATGATGTTCCAAAGGTTCTATGCCCCATCAACCTCGAAACAGAGGAGGAAGGCCTTGGTTGTCCCTACTGGGGACGGTGTGTTCTCCCCTGTGGCTTCAGCGCTTTAGGGGCTAATTATCCTCTCTCAGTTCTTTATGCATTCTGTTTATCTTTATAAAAGGACTGATTGGTTGCCATCTACAGGTTCACTCTGCATAGGGCTACCAAAGCCAAGGCTGGGGCGAGCAGAACCCAGGAGCCAGGAACTCCATCCAGTCTCTCGCCTGGGTGGCAGGGACTCAAGCACGGGGCCATCATTCACTGCCTTCCCACGTGCATGGGGTGCTTTGGCAGAGAGCTGGATCTGAAAAAGAGCAGCTGACACTTGAACCAGCATTCCTATTTGGGACAGGGGCATTGCGAGAGTGGCTGGCTTAATGCACCGTACCACACGATGTTAGTCCCACTTCGTGCTTTCTGTTTTAAAGGGGAGCACTTCTTTCATTCATTATACTCCATAGAAAACACTGCACCTTGTCTTTGTTTTAATCCCACTGTATCTGAATTCGTAATTCTCCTGACTGCCTACAAGCAGCAATTAACCGCCAATCCACATATTCTGGCAAGAACATTGAGCAGCCGCTTTTGCCAAGCGGTGAAGGAACACTCAGGCCATCCTGCTCGAAAGAGGCTCAACTTGAACTCAAACCACATCCAACGAATTAAGCTCATTCCAACAGCCCCATCCTTAAGGCTGCTCCTCTCTCCTCCTGAGAAGATGAGAATTTGAAACACTTCACACCACTCCAAGGTTTAAAAAAACCAAAACAGAGAATGCGCAAGAGTGAGTGACTTATCCCAAGGAATAATTAAAAGAGGCCTCTACCTTTCTTGGCTGAGAAACCTGGCAAGAACATCACTGGCTTTTAGTTCTTCCGTCAGCTGTATTGCCATGGAAACTTTCGAAAGATGAGGCGCGTGCACTCGGATCACTCCCTGAGGAACGTCAGCCTGCAAAGTAATAATGACACTGGAACAGAGCTGGCAGCAGCTGGGACGTGTAACTCCACACAATGCATTATACGGTAAGTGTGCTTAACTACTACACATTCTACTTCACTACATAAAAACCGTAACTACTGTATAATGTAATTTGCTAAATTACATCAAACCTCAAATATCTTCTTAATGGTGATAGGGGAACTTTATAATGCCGGTGCAGTAATGCTTAATTATTTTTAAAGATGTAAAGAATGACAGCAATAACCATTACTGCCATATTAAGTGCTGATTTCTGAGTATTATCTACTAGAGGGTGCTTCTTCATGTAGCAATTTATGAAATTGAATCAGAAAGAAGTTATTCTGTGTGCTATTGCAATATGTGCATTTAAAAAACCTCCCCCCCCCCCCCAAAAAAAAAGCTGGCACCGTGGCTCAACAGGCTAATCCTCCGCCTAGCGGCGCCGGCACACCAGGTTCTAGTCCTGGTCGGGGCCAGATTCTGTCCCGGATGCCCCTCTTCCAGGCCAGCTCTCTGCTGTGGCCAGGGAGTGCAGTGGAGGATGGCCCAGGTGCTTGGGCCCTGCACCCCATGGGAGACCAGGATAAGTACCTGGTTCCTGCCTTCGGATCAGCGTGCTGCGCGGCCATTGGAGGGTGAACCAACAGCAAAGGAAGACCTTTCTCTCTCTCTCTCTCCCTCTCTCACTGTCCACTCTGCCTGTCAAAAAAAACAAACAAACAAAACAAAACAAAACAAAACAAAAAAAAACCCTTCCCATACCTCTATAAAACTTCTAATGTATGTGTGTCACGGCTGCTCCCCGTTTGGTCAATGACATTATGCCTTTGGCCATACCCTCTAAACTTAAGAGCACCAATTCTAAGTCCTTTGCCTGTGGATGTGAGGAGCACTTTTTGGATTTGGTGATACCAATGAAAGATTTTGAGGTCTGCAATATCCAAATGTCATCTATGGCATTAGAAATATTAGGCTTAATTAATTCCTAAATGATTCTGCTAAAATAAATACTGATTTAGTATTTATAACCATATGTCTTAAACAGACTTGAAAACAGCATGCCCAAATTATGTCTAAAGATAATGCTTTAAATACTGCAAATATTCAGTAAAGTCAACTGAAATTTACGAAGCATCTATTGAGCACCAGAGAGCACTCTAGGTCTACTTACCTGGTAGATAAATAAGATATAATCCTTTATTAGACAATGTCATGTATATTCATGATAGCACCTGATTTGTTTTAAATGTACATGGTCTGGAGTTGCTTTCTTTTTTGACATTAAACTCAGATATACCATAGGTAGCATTCATTTAATTTCTTTCTAAGTTCGCCTTTAGATAATGGGCAGCACAAAACGGTGCCCACTGAAGATTAAAAAGTGTTTCTCAGCACCATCAGAGATTTAGTATGTGAATAATAGGAAAGCGACATGGCACTCGTATAAGACGGTCCAGAGAGCATCCCCACCGGCTCACTCCGTGAAGGACCAGAGAGCGTACTTACTCTAAACCCGAAGTCAGACACCGTACCATCCAGGGATGCCCCTCCGTGACCCTGATGGGCGAGGAACTGTGTTCATGACATCCTCATGTAACTTCTCCTCCAGGGACTGCTGGGCTCAACACTGCCCATGAGGGTCATCCCAGCTCCAGTTTCCAGCCAAAGCCTTGCCCAGACCCCTTACGTTCTGCTCCACCTCCCTATTCAGCCTGAACCCTCAGCTTAGGTTTTGACTTCTACATTCAGGATTATCTAAGTTGTTCTGATCACCTTGGTATAGTCTCTGACCTTGACCTCAACCTTGTCCTGAAGATTCAAGTCTAATATATTTTCCCCTTGATTATGACAGACTGCTTTTACTTGTAACATTTTGGAAAATATTCTTACTACAGATGGGGTATTTCATGTGGTAGTGTTACCTTCTTCCTTCTAAAGCAGTTATTAAGTCAGTGGGGGAACCTGTAACTCAGGGACTACATGAACCTGACCTTCCACCTTGGGTTTGAAATCTAGCTTCTTTCCTACTGTGGCCAATCTAGTTGCTGGCCTGGCCTCACCTGTTGCCTCTTAGGAGGTGGAAAATAAAATACTGGCTCTGACAGCGTTAATGTTCCAGTGAAAACTGGAATGGTAACATCGAACGCATTGAGACTGCTTCAAAACTTCAATCCACCTTGGCCACTCAGCAAGGGCAACAAATATTAGTCTTGTATTCTGTTAGAGGAGATGATGATGATGGTGATGGTGATGATGGTGATAATGACGTGGAGGGCCCTAAATGGGCTAGGTCTTGAAGATGGCCAAATACTTTATGGCGAGACTGAAAGTTAGGAGATTTTGGTCACATAATGGTGTCAAATAATCTTATAAAAATGTTTTGTTGGGTGACAATAATTGTGATAAAAATTGCTTGCATAATTAAGTCTTCCCCAGCCCTAGAATACCAGAAAGGCAGGCAAATCCAGGATGACATATGAAGTGAGATGATATGATTAAGTTTTTATATATGGAAGGGCCACAATGAACAAGCTACAATACCAAAATGAACCAGAAAAATACTATATTACCATAGAGAGTTCAGAGACAAGGTGGCCTCCCATATTTGACCACCTGTATTAAAAAGATCAGTCAATATTCACTACATCCACCCCTGCTTTCCTGTCTTCGTGTAGGTTCCAAGCACTCTGAAACACCCCTCTGCTGTCCTTATTTCAAGACCTTGCTCAACCATCTCAAGCTTCATGGAACCTTCCCCTTCCGTGATTCAGAGGATCAAAATGAATCTCCCCCTCTACGGAACTCCCCATGGGATCTCCTTTATGATGAGGACCCCAATATACAACACCCATGTGCTAGTTACAGGCCACATATCCAAGTACATGAGTGTCCACCCATCAGTGTCTGATTAACTGAATGGCTCAAACATATTTGCCACTAAAAATGACACAATGATGATAGTAAAGTTTCTGCAGAATAAAGTATACCAATGTATACTTCCTTAATGGTAGAAAAAAAGAGAAAGACACAAGTCAAATTGCCTCCCCCATGACTAAGACAAGACAGAATGGAGGGAAGGAATTCCAGAGGCTACAAGAGATAACTCTGTCATTTACTCCTGCAGGGAGCCAAGGTGAAAAGCCAGTGTTACCAACATTAACATACACCTGGTTGGAAGAATTTCGCATCTTTTTCCCCTCCAAGACCTGCTAGGAAAAGCTGAAGACCTTCTGAAATATGACCACAAGACTATGCTCTGAGTACATGGATTGCAGTTGGGGAAAACACAGCTATGCTGCCTCATAAACTAGAAAAGTGTGTTTATTGAGGTGTCAGGGCTAGTAGGAGATGACTACATCTGAAACAAGAATTCACAGTCTTTTTTATAGTTAAGCATTTGAAAGGAAGAGTTTTAGGTATCAATTTCTAGGAGCATTTGAGAGTTTTCCCATATATGAGGTACCTGAAAGATTTTGTTGAAAAATGGAATTAACAGATAAACTTAGGGGCCAGTGTTGTGGCACAGTGGGTTAAAGCCCCAACCTGCAGTGCCGGCATCCTATATGGGCACCAGTTCCAGTCCCGGCTGCTCCATTTCCGATCCAGCTCACTGCTAATGCACCTGGGAAAGCAATAGAGGATGGTGCAAGTGCTTGGGCCCCCGCACCCATATGGGAGACCCAGAAGAAGCTCCTGGCTGCTGGCTTCCACCTGGCCCAACCCTGGTTGTTATGGCCATTTAGGGAGTGAACCATGGATGGAAGATCTTTCTCACTCTGTCTCTACCTCGCTGTGTAACTGCCTTTCAAATAAATAAAATAAATCTTAAAAAAAGATAAATTTAGGGGTGTGCATTTGGTGCAGTCCTGGCTATTTTGCTTCTGATCTGGCTTCTTGCTAATGTGCAGGTGATGGCTAAAGGACCTGGGTCTCTGCTACCCACATTGAGACCTGGATTACATTCCAGGCTCCTGAATACAGCCTGGTCATTTGGTGTGTGTGTGTGTGTGTGTGTGTGTGTGTATGCATGTGTGTATCTGTCTCTCCGTATTTCAAAATAAATAATTTTTAATTATATAAAGTGAACAAACTTCACCTATTTCATATATAGATTCATTTTCAATAGATAAATTTCAGTGTAAACACATAGTTTTTCATAATAGACATTTTTATGAACTTTTGGATGACCTTTCTGTGCACAGAATTCAAGGCTTTTTTGTTCCAAAATAAATATATCTTTTAATTCCATTTTTTCCATGAAATAACCTTATACATGTCACACTGTCTACCATGCAGGCCATACTATAGGGCATCGGGGCTGGCTTTTACCAGTATGGGGAGTGGCCTGGGTACTCTTCCACTGGTTCTTTCTAGCTGTGAAATAAGACATTTCCACTTTCCCTTCCCTCAATGAGCAAGGGGAGTCCAGGCCAACTCAGATTCGGTATTAACCCTTCCCAGACAACACTGTGAAGAAATCGATTCATGTCACAGGGAACTGAAATATGCATTCTCGTGAAAAGCCTTTGATTAGGCCAATAAATGCACCTGACACCCTTCTACACTGATGGGCCATGCTTCCTGACAACTGGACAACCTGATTCTAGTGGAGTATGAGTATGTGTGCGTGCGCGCGTGTGTGTCTCAGAAATAGGGACAATTCTCATCTCTTTCTGCGAGAATACATCCCATCTAAATTCTCACAACATAGACACTGAGAATCTAACTCCATAAAAATTTACTGTGCCCTGGGGGCTGGCACTGTGGTGTAGTGGGTTAACGCTCTGGCCTGACGTACTGGCATCCCATATGTATGTTGGTTCTAGTCCAGGCCGCTCCACTTCTGAGCCAGCTCTCTGCTATGCCCTGGGAAAGCAGTAGAAGATGGCTCAAGTCCCTGCACCCACGTGGGAGACCCAGAAGAGGTTCCTGGCTTCGGATCAGCACAGCTTCAATCGTTTCGGCCAACTGGGGAGTGAACCATCAGA